TGTTGATTATTATGGCAGATATATACATGTACAACTGGCCCTCTCTGTGAGAAAGTAGAAAGTTTCCATTTGATCCGATCGATCCTAATGTAGCTTCTGTGGCTCCGTGGTAACTCCGCTGTCTTGGAGACAGCACGACGTTTGTACGTGGGTTCGAATCCTAAGGCTCGCTAAATAACTCTCTTTTGCTCGAAATAATTTCTGCAAATTGCGTTTGATAACTATAAGAAGAAACGCGTAGGTATGGACGCTGGGTGAGTCAGTCACGGCTCAGTCGATAGCGCTTAGCTGTAAAAAAAAATACAAAGCCACCAGCAAACCATGTTTACGAAAAGTCACGAGATCAAATTCCAGCTGACGCATGCCAGCTCACCACATTGACGAGCTAGGCTCCGCAATCGAAAACGAATGTAGGCTCTCGTGTGTCCGAGGAAATTACCTTTTGCATAAAACCCGGTATAGTTTAGAATTAGTGATCGATTTGAAAACAACTGATTGCTCGTCATTATCATAGAGTCTGCATCGTCAATTATATTCTTTTCTCTTTAATTTAAAGTCTTTAAAATGATACTTAAGCGGGGATGGTCATTGATCTCTAGCCTATCCTTTACCAGCTTCTCAACAGATCAAAATTGAATTGAGTCAATACCTTACTCGGCATGGCGTCATGCATGTCATACAGCCCTTTCATAAAGAAGTTATCTGCTCGTTGGGATTATCAGCAAGAAAGTTTTTTTTTTCAAAAGTCACATAGCCGGTAATGCTTTACCTAATCATACATTTTGTTTTTTTTATACCCCCCCCCCCCCCTTTGACCTTGCTTATCAAGACTGTACATACAGACTTGACATTTAATATGGAATATTTCAGTTTCGAAGGTATGCCTAGGTAAAAATACGTTCTTTTTTCAAAAACATCCTATCTCATATAAGATTTGTGAATGTAAAAGTGTGCAGTAAGGTGTGTCACTACCAATTAACTGTTTTTCATGCCTATTGCGCTGCTACATTATGTCATTTGCAGTGATTTAATTGGGTAGTGTTCTTTCGGGCTGATCAAAGCTTAGCTTAGGCAAAGCTTGGTTCTGTCAAAAAAGTATCCATATTTCGACAACTACTGCATAGAAGAATTTGAAATTTTGCATGCAAGCGGTCAGTTTTGCAGTGCGTAAAATGAGTCAAGTAGTGCATTACAAAGTTGTTAATCTAAGGCAGAATGGCGCGAAAAAGACAAGCATAACCAGACAGATCATAGCGCCAAACGGAACGGTCCCCACAGTTTTATAGAGTAATGCCCAGACTGATGTACCTACACAGAGGTCACCCCCAATGTATCAAAATTTTACCTACAGGGTACAGGACCCACTGTCTATCGGGATACGCTGCTGCAACTAAACAAAAAACATTAAGTCCGTTCAGAACGAGGGGTAAATTGCCACTAAAATGCGTTTTTCAAAGCCCTTAGCGAACACCAAACTGGTTTTAGCAGGTAAGAACACCAAATGACCTCCGAGGTACCCACTGTATACAGCAAAACATCGTCGTCTGTTTCTCTCATGACTTGGGTGCCATGAACGATTCTGGGTAGAACACTGAAACTGCCTGGCTTTCTTTATTGAGGTCAGATTTCACCTGTACCGCCCAATTAGTCAAAACAGAGTTTACAGATATCCAGAAGAGGCCTACGACGAAGCATATGCCGGGTCTAAAGTGACAAGGGTGATTGACAGCGTCAATATTTGGAGTAGATTCCACATTGGTGCCAAAACACCAATGGTAGTCATCGACGAAAACCTAAACCAGATGAAATAAAGGAATACTCTCGGAACCACTTGACTATCATTTGATAGGGGGCACCTTAGGAACAAGTCTAAGTTGCACGATGAGGTTGATGGTTCACACAGAGCACTTTTAATAGCAGATAACTTACAGAACCAAGGGAATGAGCAGCTACCCTGGTCATCAAAATCGCCACATTTGAACCACATAGACAATATTTCGGTAGACCATTATTCACCAATCAACTGCCTACATGTCCTACAACAAAACTGGACCAGATTGGACAATTTTAGACCGATTCCTGGAATGCTATTCCAGATTGAACTCTAAAAACCTACCCCCAAGAAATGCCTTGCCGCTTGAGATCGAGCGCTGGCAACAGCCACGAAGAGGCCAGGCGTAACAACGAGTATTACTGTGACTAGCAACTGACATGAGGGTCTTTTGTGGAGCGTATTACCATTTAACAGACGTTAATTTGGAAAATATGGAGATCCAAAATATCTCTTTTAATGGGAGTCGTATGACATAGAATAGGCAATGTGTTTTTGTTTGCTTCTCTGGCGAATTCCATTAATGAACTGATGTCACAATGACATCAAAGAGATAATCTAAAGTTATTAAAACACGATATTAATCCTTATTTTCATTTATCAGTCGGCAAAATAGGAAAAAAACTGATAAAAAATTATTTCGAAAAAAATATTCCATATTAAATGTCAAGTCTGTATATTCATACAGTACCCGGGGAAACTCCACAGTGGACGTTTGAAATGGCAAAGACTACTCAAAACTAAAACGTCTAATTAGTGAACCGCTTTGGGTCTCACCGTGCACAAAAACGCCACAGATGAAGTCAAACATAAACTGAGTGTAAATCAAAATGAAAATAACAGCATCTGAAATCATCTAACTAGGAACCTTCCGGGCAGGCTTAGGTAATAGACAGACCCAGAGTCAGCGAGAGTTATGTGGCGTACGCGAGTGCGTCATACAGTGGCGGATTCAGGGGGTTCTGAAAAAAAGAACACACTAATTTTTTTTTCTCTTGAAATTAGAATTTTAATTAACAGATTCATAGTTCTAAATCGCACTAAATGGCGCCGTTTGCCCTCTCAAATACCCCAAGAGGCCCGAGGGTCGGCTTCTTATTAATAAAATCGGACCCACATTCAAATAATCATGGATCCGCCCCTGCGACCTCTCAGCTAGCCTCATATATATATATATATAAAGACACTCGCCAAAGACGAAGGACGGAGCTTCTAGTCGTACTGCCGAAAAGTACGAGTAGATGATTACATCACCCCTACCCCCCACTCCCCCACCACCACCACCCAACTTATTTCAACCAGGGCTCTCAAATGTCCGATCCCTAGATGTCGCATTTAAGCTGAAGATCACCGTTCACGTGACCATTGAGCACAGCTGGTGGATCGAAACGTCTTGTATGTCTCTCGTCATTTAGTCTTAAGTCAAGAGTAATTCTGTTTTATATATGTTTAACCCCTCCACCCCCACCCCAAACATATATTGTGTAATGAACAGGTCCCACTGTATGATATTTAACGCAATTATCAATTGTAATATCTGTCAAAAGACGGATTTCGGTAGTACTGTATATAGAGAACGTCATCGCCAGCTGATACATGTAATCTGTTGCACAACAATATCAAGATTTGACAGCAGATGGCCAGAATACCAGAATACTTGAGTTTAACGCAACATTAAGTTGAAAAGACGCCTTTCTACTTCTTAAGTCAGGTTGAAACGAGTTCACTGATGTTAATAGCCATCCAATAGCCATCTCCATTGTATTAAGTGCATTTATGGGACTGAAAGCTTTTGAATATGTGGCTCCGACTTACACATATTAAACATAGTAGAAAAAAGATGGCCCGTACATAAATCGCATATCTGCTTTGTATACATATTTTGTCAGAAACTCAACGTCTACATACCTTTCCTGCAGTATGACCGTACAAGTCACTATCAAGGCTGCCTCCGTCTCAGGGTAAACAAGGTGAACTTTAAAGGGATAACAACTGTTCACTTTGGCCAAAAAAAAAAAGGATTTCCCCGGGGTAAAGGACAATATTCCCATACTTACAAATGGTTAATGAATCCATTCCCACTTTCAAAGTTAGTCCCGTTTTTTTTTTTTTTTTTTTTTTTTTTTTTTTTTTTTTTAAAAAGTTTGTTTTTTTGTTTTTTCTCTCTTAAGAGATTATTACACAGTGTAGCCATCTGGAGGTCACGTGATGTGATGGCAAGCACAAAATCCAGAATAACTGCGTTAACCGCCGTTTTGGTGGCGAAATAGAATTTATTATATTTCTAGGAGTTGTTTACAATGTATTTACTGTGAAAAATGGATATCTTACGAACAGTTGTTATCCCTTTAAGTCTGAGAACTAGTTTGTGGTGGGAACCCTCCCAGTTTCATGGGCTTGAAGCTGTCAGGTGTTATTCATACACCGCGACTAATGGGCCATTGACTGACATTGTATAACCATTAGGTATACACTAAACTACCATACAGCGCCACACAGTTTTGATAACTTCATTATCCGAATTATTTTTGAGAAACATCACGCTAGGGAGAATATAACAATAGAATAAAAAAAAGCTGCTCGCCCCGCTTCGTGTAACTGCGCAGACTTCAGATACATCCTTGCATTAACTAGTTTCTTGTGTAACAATTTTATTAATTAATTTCTTCTTTTTCTTTTCTTTCGGGAGATACAGAAAATGTGTATTTACTCTGTTTAATGGTTGCATGATTAACTGTAAAACCTGCCCTCATCATTATAACAAAATAAAAGATCATATATTTTATTCTGTTATAAAATTAGAAAATATCAATGAATATAATGAACCAAAAGCCAAGTAAGCGATAAAATACCCGAACAATAGAAGCTAGTCTTCTAAATCCAATTAGTATTCTATATTTTTTCTTGAGCCACCATTCATTCTCTGAACAATGCTTTTTATCATTCATTCCAAAGCCATAATCACTTTTGTGATGTCACAATCACTTTTGTGATTGTCAGCTTAATACAACAATATCGCTTCCACGGCACTGTGCAATTTCCACGAAGCTGACTGTGACGTTAGCGACTTTTTAGTGTGACGTCATGGACGTCGCTAAGAGACGTCAGCCAGATGTCCTAGGTGCAAACATAGCCAGCAACCATATGTAACAACCTCTCCAAACTTAAGCGCAATGGACGGAGAACGTATCACCGAAACTAACGAGGAAGGCGGGCTAGATTATGAACTGTGGGCCAAGGAAAATGGGCCCAAATATATGTCAGAACTAAGTTTGGAAGAGCGTCCTACCAGCGCATACGAAGACGGCTACTACTATTACCAATCTCATGAGTACAAAGAAAGAAGTAGAAAATCAAAACGTCAGAAAACTGTGAGATTTTCCAACAAGATCGAAATAGTCCGCCGTAGGGAGCCAGTGCTCAGTATCCGCACCCAGGCGCTGCCGCCACCAATGCCGAGCGAGTGGGACATCAGGTATCTGATCAACAACCCCAATCTCAGCGATACTCAGAAAGATAACTGGAGGAAGGAGCTCCTTGATAAATTAACTGCAGACGACAACGGTATCTTCGCCAATAGCAGCACAGCTACGGGCTCTGCAGGTAGATATATCTTGGAAAAAAACGATAATGCTAGGCGTGGTGGTGATAGGCCTATAGACAGGGAGGAAACAGGCGATGCTGCAGTGGAACGCGGACCAGTGGAAGAAAGTGGCATTTTTATAACAGAAACGCAACAGAAGGTTGTCAACTATGAAAAAGACAGGGACATTCCATCAGAACGCGGACTCGTGGATCTGTATGATGACATAGACGTCAGAGATATGAGCGGCGTTGTCCCGGTGTTCAAGACAAGACCAGAGCTGTCAGAACGAATGCAAAGAGATGTGAGTATAGCATATATACAGGGACGGATCCAGGATTATTTGAAGGGGCGTGGGTTTCGGGGCCCGCTTAAGGGCTCCGGAAATTTTTCGGTATTTAAGAGGGCGAACGGTGCCATTTCAAGAAGGGGCAGTTGGATTTTCAGAAATCGAAGGGGGTCCAGGACACCCCCCCCCCCCCCCTCGTAAATCATCCACTGACACAGTTAAAGCGCAGCAGCGTTCGTCCAGGCTCAGAGTCGACGTATTAGTGTTTGTGGTTTCTTTGTCACGTACAGCAAGCATATTGGTCTCTTATTCTCCAATAATTTAAATATAGAACATATACTTTTGATCACGTTAATACATGCATTATAATTTGTTAATATCTTAAATTTTTTCTTGCTCTTTCATTTTTGTGACTTTTTCATCAGCCAGGACAAAACTAGCATTTTGCGATTCGCTAGTACAATAAATTACATTTTAAATTATGCTCATGTTGTTACAATCCTGTATAAGAATTGTGTCATTTCTTTTATCGAACTACTGATATTTTTATTCTTGCAGCCTCGAGTTCATATTATAGCAAAGAATGGCGGATCTACAGAGAGCTTCTCAATAACCACCAGAAATAAAGGAAAAACACAGGGGCAAAAGAGAAAGAGCACTCAACATGCCAAGCAAGCAGCCGCGTCATAAATTCAACTTTGGGTCGTCTTTACTATAGGCCTATAGTGTTTCGAAAATGAATGATACATATCAGATGTTTCTTTTAAAAATGAATCATTGACAAAAATACCACCGGTTGACTTCGGTATGCCAGCCGTGGCGCATAATGTGCAATCAAAGCAAGCATGTATATTATTTCGATCTTTTTCTACTTTTTAAAAATCGTTTAACATATTTTATGTAACATACATGTGTATTTCGTTCCTCTCATAAAAATTTATTTCTTATTTTTAAAATAATCCCTATACTTTCCTTGCACACAAAATGAAAATATAGAAAAGATTGTGAACATTATTGTCCGTCTTTGCAATATTTACTCGATATTGTTTGTGAACAATATTAAATACGTAATGTTGAAAGAAAAAGTACGGTTGGCACTCCACCAAAACGTTTTCTCTTCGTTGAATGTTTACTCATAATGGCGCAATCCACTTAATATGTCCTCATAATATTATAATTAAATGTTCCCATTTAATTCAATGTCGTTGGTGTGGAATAAAAATAAGACACTGAGTCATAGTAAGCAAGTGGTCCCGCTGACAATTCATTTTACGGGGTTTTCAAGTAGTCAGCAGAGTTAAAAGTCCGGCCGACAGGGTTCGCTAGTGTTCCTGAGATCAGCTACCGGTATGTGCTCGTCTTGGATTTTGCTCGTCTTCAACTGCTCACTTATCGAAACACAAGCAGACATTCGTAGATTAAAACCTACAACGTAATTTAATATGTATTTAATCGTAAATTTACGGGTTCATCAGCAGGCTACACTTTATATAAATCAATAAAGGCATATGTACATTGTAGATATATAAAATCATTTTGCATATATGAATGAGAAATCGACAGTGTGAGAGAGGTAGAAAGAGACTTTCTTTCGAGTTGCGTTTCTAAGCGTTCTAAGTACAAACGTGATTATTTGTTGATGAAGGAGAGAGTCATCCAAATATTAACCGTAACGGCCGTTTCTCACCCTCAGTGTCCCAGGGGACTGAAACTGGCATTCACTATCAGCATGTCTCCAGTAACACCGTGAAATTCAGGGTGTGTCTACACAAATGTAAAATAAACTCCAAAATAATAAAACATTACTTTTTCAACCTCCTTGAACACTCTCAGCAAGTTCTCTCCCGCCAGTTTCTTCATCTGTGTGTCTGTCCAGCCGCCCTCAGCCAGGGCAGTGAACAGGGCGGGGTACTTGGACACGTCCTCCAGACCCTGGGGAAATCTGACAGAGAAGAATTGTTTTAAATAAAAAAAAAGAATGTTGTCAAGGTTAAAAAATAGCTAAATAAGTACCTGTAAAAGAAAAATCTGAATACCGGTATAATGATAATGATTAGGCAAAATCAATAAATAATTAAATAATTAAATAAAAATTTGAGATCCCCGATCGAAAGGATAATTACTACATGTAGCATAATCATTATGACCATGACCACAGATATCAGGAACGTGATGCCACCCCTACTAGTACCTCCCACCCCTCGGATAATGTGTAATGGTACTGTGTAGAAGAGGGCACCCCACTTGTAACAGAGAGAGAGAGAGAGAGAGAGAGAGAGAGAGAGAAAGAGAGTGGAGATCAAATACCCGCTTGCCCCATCGTAATCAGCGCCTATACCAACATGGTCTTCTCCGATCAAGTCTTTGATATAATTCATGTGGTCTGGAAGAGAAATATTCAGTAAATGCTATGCGTAAGACCTAACCTAAAAATGAATTTAGACCACACTGTGTATTAAAATAGATAACCATGTTTGAATAATTGACGGAGTGAAGATGGCTTTTTGTATGAAAGAAAAACTATCGCAGACAAGGGCAAAATCCGTTTCTTAAGTGCCTGTCGCCAACAATTTGCTACTATTACGAATACAAGCAAGAAAATTCGATACTAAGTCACTGGAGTGAAGGTTATTTCTTCTTACCTACGACCTGTTGTAAGGTGGCAGTGGATTGGTTGTTAGGAAAACAGTTGCCATATTCGTTGTAAAAATTCACCATGATGAGGCCGTTATTCTCTTTCTGGAGAGAAACAGTTTTGAAAAACTTGTTATTTATGATATAGCTGTTTTATGTGCCAAAAATAGTATACATTCCATGAAACGTGACTAAATCGGCGACGTTTCGGAAGCTGGGTCCATACGGAGTACTAGTATAGGATATTACTACTGATATACATGAAGCGGCAATAATATTTATGATAACAAAAAAAGTGCCATTGTAAAAACTTGTTTTGAATACTTATGCTTATCAAGTAAAAAGTATCTATGAACAACACTGATTTAAAAAACATTCCAAAAGTTGTTCTACCTGCAAATGCAAATTGCTACGACACGCATGCATACACATATACCTATTTTGTCTTCGCTGCCACGTTGCCCTCGGTTTTCTCGCCCGTCTTTTAAAAAATTAAAAGTTAAAACTAACACACTCGCCGCTTTTTATCACATCAATCCGTTGTCACATTCCTCTGTCTTCTCTACCGCAATCACAAGCTTCTCTCTTCTCTATCGCACTCACCAGCTTCAGCAACACGTCATCCTGGACATTCCGCGGATGGTGACACACCGCGTACGCTGAAGAGTGGCTAAATATCACGGGTGCCTGGGTGACATTGAGTGCATCCAACATGGTGGCCTTGGAAACGTGTGATAAATCTACCAGCATACCCAACCGGTTCATCTCTAAGACAATAGTCTGGATATAGAAATGAAAGAGATTTGGAATTCGGCCGAGACATTTTATAAAGTTTATAAACAGAACACCCAAAATGTTTAGAATTACTCAGAAGTTAAAAATTCACGTATAATTTTGATAGTATAACAAGACTGAAAAAGGTATACTCTGAAAGATGTCTGAAATACTTACAAAATAAAAAAAAATCTCATTCAAAATAAGGATAAATTAAATATTTAATATCAAACAAATAAACAAGCATCTATTGGCAATGGGAGTCCGGAAAGAGAATCATGCATGTTATCTCAACTCTACTAATCTTGATTAACTAATGTGGCACCAAAGTTTTGCGAAGTTAAAATGATCGTCTGCTGGAGCTGCGTTCTTACCTGTCCCCACTCAGACAGTCCATTGTTGACCGGAGGGTCATACTGAGGGTTAGCTAGCGGCCAGTCCGACTTCCAATTGTCCGCCCTGTAAACAGTGACCACAGTGCAGAGAAATAAATAACTTTTAATACGTTTGCAATTTAAAAAAAACTACATTCATCGATGAAATTATAATTGGCTTGTTATCTAACTGAGAATTAAGAACCATCAAAACATGGGCATGGTACCCCCATACACACTAAAACTGACATCTGTCGTAATCCTAGAATTTCAAGGCTTCTGTTCTGACGTCTAGGCTATTTGAACTACTACTGGTTAGGACTGTTCTGTCATGTTTATAGATAACTGAAAATGTTTTTAAATAGGTTAAAACATTTTTAAAAACTGATGGTTTTTACCTGTAACATTGAAGATAATTGCCGTAATGATACCCAGTCAAAGTGCACGGATTTATATATATTTTAATTCATTAAAACAACAGCTCCCGTCCATGTTGATTTTCTTGTTCACAGACATATATTTACCATGGAGTATGACAACTGTGGGTTAGAGTCATATACCGGACCCCAAGGCGGTAAAATACTCGAAGGGTTGCTAGGCTACTGTCGATCATGTGACCACCCTCTAGACCAATCAGACTGCCGATTTTGCCAGCACTAAATGCATCTTCTATACCTGTTGTGGAAAGTTTTATTGTTAATTATATTGATTTCAATGTAGTTTAATAACCTCTCTCTCTCTCTCTCTCTCTCTCTCTCTCTCTCTCTCTCTCTCTCTCTAAGTGATATATTAATTGAGTAATTTATCTGTGCACTTTCAGGCGCTTTAATTTGTCATTAACTTAAGTGCTATTTTGACAGGTCGCCCAGACGCCAGAATCACTTCCCCTGCCTTGAAATCTGATACTTAACTTTTATCGAGACAGAAAAGCTGAGCAGCTTATGTTTTAAAATAAGTAATATTGAAGGTCTGAAAAATTAAACGGTCCGCCATTACGAGCACCACATACGGTGTATGGCAGTATCAGTGCAGACAGGGCTGAAAAAACAAGGGCCCATTTCAACAAAGACTTGTTGAGTGGAAGTTAAGTCTTAGCTTTATGACCTTAAAAATTGGATTTGCAAAATGAAGAGGTAGATAGCAGTATGTCTATAGTAGGCCGCGACCATGCAAGCTTACATGTATATTTTTAAGATAAGCGATGTTTACATATGTACATAAAATATCAGGCTTGATAATATACATAAACAAAAACGTGCTATCAATAGCAAGACATACACTGTAAGACTTTGTTTCCATGACAAGAAGGCCCAAAGCAGTTTATAATCCTCAAGAGCTGATAACAGGTCCAATATTCACTAAAAAAGTTTGAAAATCATCCATGACTCATAAACGTTTACATCAAAAGGGCGCCATGTCTGTATAGACCGCCAGTTAGAGACGACAGAATTCTTAGAATTGAGCCCTTTGGAAAATAAACACAAATAAATAAATTGCGCTTAGGGACCATTCCCAGACCCTATCGTACTAACTATTGATCGATCTATCTCCAACGGGATTGTCGATAAGTTGCAATCAACTTAAACGGCTTAGATGACTGAAGCTGCTAGGGGGTAATTAATTGTCGTTTAACAGTTGCCGTAGGTGTGCCAGACATCTAAGTCTCTTAAGGTGAAGGCAATTTAGCTAGAAACCACTTGGAGATGGATCGATCCTGTTACATCGATAATAGGAATGGGAACCCAGTCTACCATTGTAACATGAGTTGTGACGAACCGAAAAGTTATTACATACAGACAGCAAAAATAACTGATTAGAAAGTCAAAATTGATTATAAAATGGCGCCTACCTTGAGCAGTGGTGGCGAAGTGGAAAGTATCCGGGTACTTTTCCACGAATCTCATAATTGTGTCCAACTGGTCCAGGGCTACCCTAGTGGCGTCTCTGTACTGAGCGGAACAGGAGCCATAACACGACCAGAACTATGAAAACGAGACATGTTTCACTAGATATGTATAATTGTAGGTTTAGATGTCTGCATCTAAGACTGAAAAGATCATATAGCCGACTACTAGTATGTTAAGACGACTTGGCGGTCTTTTGGTCTCTCAGAGCATTTAACAAAAGACACAACAAAGTTAGTTGACATACTGAAATGAGGTTTTGTCACTACGGAGTGTAAAAATATCAAGATTAGCAAAATTTGTTCTGGGAACAACGAAATCGACCTTTTAAAATTTCTGTGAATTGCAAATTTGGCGGTTAAGCTCCTAATTTTGACATACATACATACATGCAAGATGCTTGAGGTGGGTGAAGAGGTGTAAGAACATATTTGGGACCCCCTGTCTCCTTCATAGATTACCTGTGCCCCGAGCCTCCCTGCTCTTAACCGCGGTATGTCTGTCTGTGTCTCATTCCACACACCAATCAGACTCTCCCTGAGGTTCACGCTGTCAACGTGGTTCATGACATTACTCCTGAATCTGTAGGCCAGGTCGTTATGTCTGGAAAGAAAGGACACGTTGACATCAAGGAATTAATCCCAATGAATTTCAAGTGAAATCTCTCTCTCTCTCTCTCTGTGTGTGTGTGTGTGTGTGAGAGAGAGAGAGAGAGAGAGAGAGAGAGAGAGAGAGAGTGTGGACACCGAAAAGAAATAAGTTACATGAAATCATATCGTAGGAAGAAACATATATAATTTTACCCATCAATAAGTGGCGTTCCCTCTAGCACCTTTGTACCATCGCTTGGGGAGAGTGGTCTGTCGTGAATTTTGAACAGCGAATTTCAACTTATTTCTTTTCGGTGTCCTCTCTCTCTCTCTCTCTCTCTCTCTCTCTGTGTGTGTGTGTGTGTGTGTGTGTGTGTGTGTGTGTGTGTGAGAGAGAGAGAAAGAGAGAGTGGACACCGAAAAAAAAAGTTACATGAAATCACATCGTAGGAAGAAACATATATAATTTTACCCATCAATAAGCGGCGTTCCCTCTAGGACCTTTGTAGCCAACGCTTGAGGAGAGCTGTCTGTCGTGAATCTCAGCGTGACTACCACCGCCACGGCAGCTAATACTACTACCGTTCCAGTGATTCCTGCTATTAGACATTTTCTACCACAAACCCCTGATTTTCGTCGTCTACCCAGGAGAGGCTCCATACTGTCGTATGAGGACATATTGCTGGCACCAAAAGAATGGAAAAGACCTGAATAACATAATGGTAAAAAAATTAATTGAATATCAAAATTAAGGGTGAAGACAGACTCACTTCCATGATGAAATCGCCTCTCTCATTATATACTGAGTTAACACTTGCATAATTGGAGTCTATACATACTAGGGGTCAATGCTAATGTATTTATCATACGTATAATTGTTTTGGATTTTATTTTAAATTAATTGACTTTGAAAAATATATACCGGTAAGATCGTTTTCTCATATGAATTGCTATGGGTACTGACAGTTTACCTGACCCACCACGGACCACAGTGCTATGTATCTCTCTCTCTCTCTCTCACACACACACACGCACACACACACACACACACACACACACACCTTACATGCAAGCAAAGACACAGACACACACACATACACTTAAAAAGTCGAATCGATGCAAATATCAAGCACTTGCACACACACGTACACACACACACACACACACACACACACACACACACGCAGTGACACACACACTGAGAGAGAGAGAGAGAGAGAGAGAGAGAGAGAGAGAGGGGGGGGGGAGGGAGGGAGGAAGGGAGGGAGGTTCAGTGCCTCTTTTGGAATCATTCCATATACCGAGAGTACACTCTTACACCAACTACATGTAGCTTACCGCCCTACCGTCTTACCTTTCCAACCCCAAAATATCAGAGTAAATTTACCCTGGTGAAGTCTCTGGCAGGGTGTCCATTGTCCACTGTACACAGGAAGCACTCGTATTGTGGTACAAAGGTGACACTTAACGCGTCCGCGGGAGCTTGTTTGTCAATAGTATATCGGGACCTAGATATTAGGTTATCTGAGACGGCTGGGGAAATCTGTATCAAGCGTGCTCTCATTTGCAGAAAAAGAAATTTCAACTATCTACTGATACCAGCAGGATGAGGGAGCCTTGATTAAATTTAAGATACAGGTGCCATAGGATGGAATTGTATACGTATTTTTCGTGCAATTGCTTGGCGTCGTAAATAGCTATGGGCTTCACCGAGTATATAATGAGGTTGCCGTGCAATTTCTCCGACGGGAAAATCTAGTTTTTTTTTTCGGTTGAAAAGTGATCGTACGGAACCCTTTTAGTTTCAGTGTACTAGTGCAGTTGCCATGCGCCTTCCGTGCGGCTTCCTTGATACCGATACGTGCAGGCCATGTGGTCAGAATAAGGAAAAGCACAATTTCAAATTCATGCAAGTGAATTATAATGAGTTAAAATGCATTTACTAAACCTGCAAAGGAGAGACCACTGTTAGCCATTAACACGATCGCCGCAAGTCGACAGAGCAATACCAGTACGAGAACAGTGCATTGCCATCTACATGAATGCTACGGCGTATGGGCTTACCGTTTCAAAATATTCTCGAAAATTTTAGCTTTACAAAATCGTAGGACAACGGAGGCCGTGAATCTGTACGATATGTCTGATTTGGTACGGCACGAAAAGGGATTTACGAGCAATGTACGGACGTTGCAAAAATTGTCTTTAAAGCCAATCTGTCGATCCATACGATTAAAGTTTTATAAATAATTATGAATTCCAACTACATGTATTTATTACAAATTCATTCAAATATTTATGGAATCAATCACTCATTAATCAGTATGCCAGTTAATTAATCCATTTATTCATTACACAATTGAAAACCTTTTAACTTTTGACTTATCAATATATGTATCTTTTATTCATTTAAAGGAATTCAATTCATTGTTTTATTATCCATAGTTACATATTTTTGTCACAAATGACAACCGGTGACATATAAATAAACATTAGCTTACTTCATCTGGTGTTAACTGGACAGAACTGGATTCCTTGTGAATAACTGTATTTCGTGACATTACAATATGAAGAGTTTAGAATAACACGACAAAGACACATTCTTGTTAATTGCAAGTGTTTAGAATTCTACAACAATCTATCACATACATGTACACTAATAGTTATACTGTCTTATTTGTCTTTTTTATGCATTCGATATATATGTACATAATAAAAAACTAAATGTCCAAACTAATGACACCTGTTCGCAAGTGCTGTATAGTGAACAGAAAAGTCATCCGAATCCTTGGTCACATGACGGTCATGTGATCTAGAAATCTGGTCGACAAGGTACGGTGGTGTTGCCTAGATCGCTGTCAGGGATGAGGTCGTCCAGTGGATGAACCCCCTTCATCTCCCGTCTTACCTGCACAGATCAAATGTGAAAAATAAATGAACTGGGGACTACTGCTTACACACAAACAAACATCCACAAACACATCCACAACCAGACACTCCCCGACACACACACACACACACTCACACAGACACACAACAAACAGGCACATATACACACATGTACATCAGGGTACAAGGCACCCACCTCCTCGGCTCTCCTGAACGCCCTGAGCAGGTTCTCTCCCGCCAATTTTTTCAGCTGGGACTCCGTCCAGCCGTCTTCAGCCAGAGCAGTGAACAGGGCCGGGTACTTAGACACGTCCTCTAGTCCTATTGGTAACCTGGTGATATCAAATAATAGATTAACAAATAAATATATGTATTAAGTGTAAATAAAATAATGAATAGTTTTATGATATGAAATACAATCATTTTGAATGAAAACACGGTCACTCAATTATATATGTCATATCGCGCCTTCTTTACCAGTACACGTACTGATGGTTTGAAAACATGCAAATAGAGAACTTTGGTATTTATTAACTCATTCGACTTTGTGAAAATGGAAAAAAGATTCAGGGATATAGAAGTATGTAAATTATTTGGAAAGTCCTGACTGGTATTTTAATAGTTAAAACTCACCGTGTGACACCATCGTAGTCTCCACCGATACCGACGGAATCCTCTCCGGAAATGTTCTTTATATGGTTTATATGATCTGATAATATAATATAATATAATATAATATAATATAAGCTGCACATCTTCGGATGCTTTACATAAATTGCTTGAATGCAAATTTGCTTTTTAAATGAAACTAAAATAATTTAACAATTGAAAGAAATAAATGCCAATTCAAGAGCAAACAATAAGATAAGTTTATAACTTAATTGAACAGTCTAAGATTTTTTACATAACTGAATAGTATAAATGTTCTACAGCCTTAGATAATATTAAAATAATAATGATGATCAACCACGTTAGCCTACCTACCACCTGCTGAAGAGTGGCGTTGGTTTGATTACTTGGAAAGCAGTTGATATAATCACTGTAGAAATTCACCATGACAACGCCTTTGTTCTCTTTCTAAAAAAAAGTGCAGAATATAGCATGAGGTGCAAGGCTGCATATGTAACTTAAAGTACAAAATAAATAGCTAGAACCATTTTGCATTGTTTTTACAGAATCACATGAACGCAGCGGTTTGCAATTAGTTGTCGTCGTCTTCCTTCGCTAAAACACTTTCAACTCTCGACCATAGCACTCACCATTTGACTTGTCTTTCTCAGCATTCGCAACTTTGTCTCAACAACAATAATTCACTACCACACTCCCACCTCTGTCTCAACAACCACACTCATAACTTAAAGTGAGTAATGCACTTCACCACTTTCAGCAACACGTCGTCCTGTACGTTGCGCGGATGGTTGCACACAGCATAGGCCGAAGAGTGACTGTATATCACAGGTGCTTTAGTAACACTGAGAGCGTCCGTCATCGTCTTCTTTGACACGTGCGACAGATCTACCAGCATACCCAACCGGTTCATTTCCTTGATTACTTTCTGATAAAGAACAAATGATAGAAGTGTGGCCAATAGAAAAAGAATATGTGAATAGAAAGATGGAATAACATTTTAAAAGCAATGTTAAAAATACTACTACAGCACAGTCACTACTACCGCTGCTACCACTACTACTACTACTGATAATAATAGTAACAATATTAAATTGAAAAGTGTTTATTCTAATTACTGACTTTAGAAAAGGGACCCATCAAAATAATCAAACTCAGCGACAGAAACTGGGTAGAAAGAGAATGGTTATAAACATCGAAGTCTACCTTTCCCCATACTGAGAGTCCATTGCTTCTTGGAGGTTCATAATTACCATTGTCAATGGGCCAGTCTGATTTCCAATTATCCGCCCTGCAACGAAGTTAGACGATGTGAAAAATGATTAAATGTTTATTTATAAGGCAGGTACTTGTGCATTATGTTAAAACATCTTTAGATATTGATCGATACAGCATCTCTACTTGATCATAAAATGTGCCGATTAAGCAATTTAATAAATGTAAAATGGAACGGTATAATGTATATCGTGAAACTACATGTATGCTCAAATTGCATTGAAAATATTGAAAAACATCAATTCTCCTAACCAGCATCTCTGAATTGGTGCTCTTGGTGACAGTAAACGCACAGTATGAACATATAGCAGTTCATTGTTCCTCTTATCAACTTGATTTACGATAAAAACCCACCATGGTGTATGACAGCTGTGGGTCAAGGTCATATAGCGGACGCCAAGGTCATAAAACATTCTCAAGGTTGCAAAGCTACTGTCGATCATATGACCCCCTTCTAAACCAACCAAACTGCCAATTTTATGGGCCTTGAACGCGTCTTCGATTCCTAAGATATTATCACAGGAGGGCTATCATTCAAAGAATTCAAATATAAATGGCTTTTAGTCAAATATGTCACAATATTTTTAGAGAATATTCGGGTGAATTAATGTCACAAGATTAACATCTATAAAACGGGAAAATATCTTTAACTCATTTCATCATTATAGAATTTCTAAAAGTATAAGTTATAAAACAATTTTCACTTTGTTTGGACTTTGTTTATCCAGCTGCGACGCAGTTGACTGCACGTGCGTACCTTGAGCTGTGGTGACAAACTGGAAGATATCCGGGTACTTGGAGACAAATCGTTTGATGGTATCCAGTTGGTCCAGAGCCACTCTGACCGCGTCTTTGTACTGGGCAGAACACGGACCGTAGCATGCCCAGAACTGGTGAAATGATATGTACAAGAAAAGTAAGGTATCAGCATTTTAAATTGAAATTTCTTTGTGATGTAAAAATATGTAAAATATTTTTTTTAATTATAATGAAATTAAAAACATTAGAATCAAATTGATTTCACCAAACGATTTAGGCATATATATTATACATATATTGCTTTCAATCATAACTGATAACAAGAACGAAAAAAGTTCGTCTACGAGCCCTCATAAAATTGCTAAAAGGTGTGTGAATAAAATGTTATATGTGTACCGTTCTATGTAGCCAATTTGCTTCCAAATATTTATTATAGTCTCTAAACTGATGAATTTTGTATACAGTACAAACGCTTTTGTAGCAGTATATATTTACCTGTAAAATCTAATCTATTAGTAACGAAACTGGGTTTGTATTTGCACATTGTAAAAACGTGTGCGGTGTTATGTCAGAGACTCATAAAGATTATACTAACACTGTATTGATAGTTCTAAGAGAATACCACTATACCTGTAAATTGTTACACCCTTAGACCATATTGCCCCGTAGACACGCAAACAGATTATAGAAAGCACATTATTTAGAACAATGACTGACCTGGGCGCCGAGTTTCCCTTGATGTAGGCGTGGTATATCTGTATGAGTGATGTTCCATATGCCAATCAACGACTCCGCGAGATTCACGCTGTCCACGTGGTTTTGGACGTTTTTCCTGTATTGCCAGGCTAGGTCGTTATGCCTTGAAATGGAAATCTCTTTTCATCAGTTTTTTAAAGCCGTGTGAAAATAAATAAAATCTAGAAGACAAACTTCCTGACTTGAGCCCTCACCCCTAAAAATTAATAAAACATAACATGACGATACCCACCATCAACCCCCCCCCAAAAAAAAAACAGATGAATTAAAAACACTTATATAAGTTATATGTAGATAAATACACAAGTTATACATCAAATATAAAATAAGTTACACATAAATAAAGTGAATGCCTAAAGAATATATTTATGAGAAAGACGTCTCTGTGTCTTTTATAACAAAATTGTACATACTTAAGGTCGATTTAGCAATTCATTTCGACGAAAACGGTATTTTATAGAGCATTATTAATAAGGTGAAGATTTGTATAGAAGAACATTGACCCATGTATTACATGTCACTTAAACAACAGTAGCAAGTCAAGATTTAAGTAACAAATAGTCCAGCCACTGCGGAGGGACATTACCCTCTACAGCGCCACAGATTGATTTTTCACTAGATATTCACAGCTATGTCTCTGGTTAATTTCACGGTTATTCTCTGCACTGCAGCTCAGGAAAAATGTCCACATAATAATAACTGTGGTCCTGGTAGAGGGTAGAGGGAGACCCCCTCCTATCCTGCCTAGCATCGTTGTTTTTACCTCACAATGGGGGCTTCTAATCTAAATACAGGCTGGTTTTAACCCGGCATTACTGGTTGTCATTCTTTTTGTATACGGAATGCGTACTGCTTGAGTGTTTTATGGGCCTTATAAAACTTTGGATAGCTGTTTTTATACTAAAATAATTTTGAAAATAAAGAAAATACTGTTTCTTTTTTCTTTCAGAAAGTTTATATAATGAATAAATTGGACCTACCCGTCCACTAACGGTGTTTCTGACAACACTTGGTCAGCCAAGCTCATCGCGGTTGTAACGTCAGAATTCCTATTGAGTGTCAGTGCGACTGGCACCGCTACTGCCACGCCCACCATCACAACCGTGATTGCGACGGTCACACCTATCACAATCCGCTTTCTGGACATTGATGTTAAAGGAAGGTCATGAAACTTGTCCATGGTGGCTTATCCCAGCCTTTGTGTTCAGGGGGTACCGGTACGCTGAAAAGATGACAGAGAAAAAAACTAGATTTGTATTTTTATTATTCCGAGTCGTGATCAGAAACGTTCATTTTGAAGAAAAACGGTTAGACACATATTTCTTCTTTTTCAATATATCAGCATTTCAAGAGGTCAAAATGGAATTGGATCAAAAATAACATCTACACAAATCGCCACGCTATTTGTTTGCCCATAAAGCTGTGACTTAAAATAAAGCCAAGTTGCTAGGTCTCCCACTCATGCCAGGTGTGTTCGGACAGTCACAAAGAACATGTTCCACAGTCTGTACGTTCCCACTTGTGCGCTTACAATTTACAGAGGGAACCTTGGGCCAGTGACCTTTACCACCATAAGGCCATTAGCCGACAATCAAAATTTGGCTGCTATAATTCCTTAATGCCTTTTAACGTCAGGTGATGTGTACGTGTATATGTCCATAAATAAGTCACTTAAGTTAAACATGGTATTAGTTGCTGTATATACCTATATATACTTCTTTTTGTCTATTTTGTCAAGTCTTTCTATGTGCGTAGGCCTACCTTTCAGGCCCGTAGCCAGCAATTTCAAAAGGGGGGTTCTTTTTCTGAAAAAGTGGACCTTTTCCCATAAAAACTTCATGTACCTAGATCAAATTTTACCCAGAGTGGACCTTTTCCCAGCAAAAGGGGAGGTTCTTTCGAACCCCCCGAACCCCCCCCCCCCCCCGGCTACGGGCCTGCCTTTGTTAGTTTGCACATAGCTATTTGTACTATCGATATCTCCTTGATGTAAATCTACAAAGTGCTTGAAAGCTCAAGAGTTTCTGTATTGATATAAATCGCACGCTACGCGTAAACTGACAGATACCCTACTTTTATTAAGCACATAGGTGAGGAATTTCCGCCGCATGTCCTTCATACGGCCGATGCTGACCTCTACGCTGCTCAGTGCGAGTTCTAAAGACACAAGTCAATTGACTTGATTCCACTAACAATTTATAGAGACTAAGGGCGCATTCCTTAAGATTTTAGATCGATCTATCCCCGTGGGGAGTCTCACTAGATTACTGTCAGATAATCCGGCTTAAATGCCCGTCCCGCCTACTACAAGCTGTAAGGGGTAATTAACTTTCGTGCCCGCTCGGCTGACAGCTATTTAGCGTGAACCCCCTGGGAGTTAGGTCGATCTAGTTGGAGCGATCTAATCTCTGGGAATGGGGTCTATAATTGGTCTAAAGGCAACTTGTACGGGTGCTGTTAAACACTCAATCCTTACAACAATACAGTGCACTTGAAAATAAGGCGGACTCTATCACTTGCTTATTCACGGTAAAGGTGCGACTCTATTTTTGTCCAAATACAAGACAATTTTTTTTCATTTACGTGACTTCTGACGAATGTCATAGCTTCGGCTGTTATTTTGCCGTTTTGACTCGAAACGTACCGTAAATATACACATATAGGTTACAGTCCATAACTGTCAAACTCGGCAATGTCATAAACATCAATTGATTCATAATACGCGTAAAAAAGTTTGGCTGACAATAACGTTCTTTACACAAGAGCTTCTAGCTCATTCACATCAATGTTTAATTAGTCAGCCGATTAGAAACAACAATTAGCGATAAGTTACACACAATGGAGAATAGAAGTGTCACCCCCTGAATCAGAGTAATCAAATAATAATCAAGTAATCAATAATCAAAGTAGGCATATCTTGAGTAGTTGTAATGCCTGGTCTACATTTTTTTTTTTTTTTTGTAAAATTTGTGGTTAATAAAATGATACCAGGAGCATATCATTCCACAGTCATTAATCTCCCCAAAGTATTGGTTCAGTAGGGGTGACACTTCTATTGTCCATTGTGTGTACTTCATTAATTTAAAGCGATTGTTTGAGTGGGGGCGAGAATCCGCGTTTGAGTGGGAGCGAGAATCCGCTGACTACGGTACTTAATCAAACTTTTCAATGGAAAATTTTGTGAATTCTATACTGTATTTCTAAGTCAGTATTTCTTAAAATCAGAACATAACTATTAGGTACGGATAACGGTAGCCACGAAACTGAAAAGCAGGCTTTTCAATAGTTCTTTCCTATGCAGTAAAGGCAACACAATGCTATATATGAATATAATTTTGTGATCAGAAAATTATGTATCTGAAAGTGTTATATATGTTTTGCCCATTGAAAAGTTCGAGTAATTGCCGTTAACTATACATAACCCATATGCGTTCATGAATACTACATGCAGTAAAAGCATTGTTAGCCGAAGGCTTGTCTCTGGAAAACGAGTTACCAAAATGTTACCAAAATCCTTGTGTGAGAGTGTTCCAAACACTTCAACCAGGTTAATTAAAGGTACCCGTTACGGGATTCACCAGCCAAAATGAATTTTTTGGGAAAAACGCACCTACCTTTTTTTCTTACTATTTTGCCTCGTTTTCTACTATCAGCAGGGCCCTATCAGTTGTTTTTCTACAAAGACAACTCTTCAAAGAGGTGGAATATTTACTTAAACGGGGAAGTTTATTGCCAGTAAGGCTTTCTTATCACTCCGTATTTAGGCTATTGATCCATGCCTCTGCATAGCGACGCCTTAGAACAGGGCGGCGTGTCTTTGCATAATCATGTTGGGTCATTTGACCCACAGTCATTAAACTCTTGCGTAACATTTAATGAACATTGAATTCTGTGATTTCTTTTGCATTTCACAGCTGTTAGATGCGATGGGATCAGATTATCCAGCGAAAACTTTGAAGAAACCATTTTTTATATTTATCTCCCTAGGCTGTATTAAAGATAAGGGTGGGGCATACGGACACCGAGACTCCATTGCCGATAGATAGACTTAAATTTGAGTCTAAATTCTCTCTCTCTTCATTACATTTTTCTAATATTGCCCATCCTATAGGCCTACATGTGTTATATTTTCTGTCTAAATGTACCAATTACCAAACATTAATGCTAAGTAAAGTATGTAATAATGACACGTCCCTACTAGTACTTACCTCCCGTAGGCTGGACAAAGCAATGTGGTTCAGATTTAAAAACTCACCCTTTATCAGCACAAACCCCACATGTACACTACGCTAGCGCCATCTGTGTCAAATTGAGGCACTTCATTCCGCTGGGAATGCTGCTTGCACCCTGCGTGTCAGACTGTTGGAAGCTAGCGTTCATAAACAGCTTGGACTCAGTGGCGGATTTAAGGGGGTATTACCAAACGGCACCGTTCGCCCTCATGGGTGGTCGATAACCGTGTCCCGAGATGATGAACCTAAACGATACATTCACAACTTTTCTGTCGTTTTCAGTTCCCATCTCCTTAATTGTTCACTTGTACGGGAAAAACTGCCTTCGATGATCTGTCTTATCGTTTTCAGTACATGTAACACCTTGAGTTTCAGAGTTTGATTCAGAATAACCTTTATAACTTTGGCAGAATAGGGAATCTTTTTCAAGCCCCTTAATATCAAATACGAATATTTTTTTTTTTTTTTACGAATACCCCCGCACATTGTTAATCGAATGTCGTTATTTATTATCAAGCAATTTTTAATTAAATCAGGGTTTTTGATTTGATGTATAGGCTATTTAGCCACTGTATATGGTCCAAATGTGCAATAGGAATCTGACTTATCAATAATGGAAATGTGTAGAAATTAAGAAAAAATTGATTAATTTATTATTTAATGTGGTATCTATTCTTTCATATATATATATATAGGTCCTATATATTATATATTATATTTATTAATAAATTCATTTACTTGTTTTACTGAGGAATTTGTTCATATAGGCCTATTAATTTATATGCTTTCTCATGTACTATTTACTGGTAGGCCTATGCCTATTTATTCTTTTCGTTGTTTCATTCTTTGCATATAGCCTATGTTTTCGCTTTTTTCTCAATTTTTATTAATCAGTTTTATTAATGAACTAGTATTAGGCCCTATTTGTCATCTTTTAAAAACTGTAAACAAGAACAAATTTGTTTTTAAATGTAGGCCTACATTATAGGCCTATATAAAATGAGACGATCGATTTAATGCGTTTGTGATCGTTGCATTTCCTATTCATCGTTTTTCGCAATACCTATCACCAAGGTAAGGTTTCCTTACTACTGCTTGACACCAAAACTCTTTATCTAAATAGGCCCTACAGGGGCGGGGCGGGTCCAGGATTATTTGAAGGGGAGGGGGTGGGACAGATGCGAACCTGACCACACACACACACACACACACACACACACAAACACACTTAGCGTGGGGTTCGGGGCCTCGAAAAATTTTGGTATTTTAGAGGGCGAACGGTGCCATTTGGTAGGTAGCCTATGTACGGTTCAGAACTATGATTCTGCTAGTCAAAATTCTAATTTCAGAAGAGGGGAGGGGACCAGAAATCGAAGGGTGGGGGGGCAGGACCCCCCAGACCCCTCCTCTAAAACCGCCACTGTGAATGAGAGACATGGAACAGCAGTGACACGAAGTCTGAAAACATGAAACTCTTTCACACGCAACTCCTGTAGACATATAAATGAGCATGTCTCTGGCCACTCGACGCACTTGTTATATTTGCTGCGGAGCAATCACAAAACGGGCATGGCGGAGGCGTCTACGGAAACAGGGTCTCCAGAGAGTAAAACGTATCTTAAAAGCATTTTAACCATTTTTGAAAAAAGTAAAGATTATGATTTAATAAAGCAGTATTTAGAAGACTGTATAGGCTCAAACCAGCCTTCTGAGGATGAGAAGAAACGATCTGCGGACAGGTAAGCCTAATATGATATTCTGACAAACCCATTGGATTTGTATTGGCCTGTGCCCTGGTTGTTGTTGTGCAATGCCTAGTGAACAAGTGCCCGGTATAACCTAGCGCTCATACCGATGGGAATTTATGTGCAATATTAAATGTGGGAATTTATAAAAAATAAATATAAATTAATTGAATATATGTATTTGTTGCTGTTGTCGTTGTCCGGGGGGGGGGGGGGGGGAGTACTTAATGCAGCCCTCCTTTTTTGTGCATTTACGAAGAGTAGAATAACTCCAGACATTATAATGTATATTAATGTGTCTATGAACATTTTTACAGCTGTTATACAGTTTAAGACTGTACTAGTACTTTCCTTGTACAGTTCACTACCTTTGTTATATAATAAACATATGAGGTCATGCTTGTACACTGTATGTGCATTGTACATTTGCAAATTGTAAACATATATGCAGACCATAAATGTACATACACATGCAGTCAACATCTGTACCTGTGTATATTTGTAGTTGGCTATACTGGGCCAGACAACAGACCATGTTGAAGGTTGTGTCAGCTGAAATACCAGAAGGTATTCTACCACAGGGCCTCAGAGGCAGAATACTGGACGCCAAGGTCTTTGCTAAAGGACGTCCAGACGACCCAATTTACGACAACCACCCAGAGATCAGGGCAAAGGTGACAGTATCTACACTTAGATATATTGTGATAATTTTCCATATTTATAAAACAAGAATCATGTGAAGCCATATTGAAAAATAGAGACAGTGAGAAAAAGATGGAGCAAACAGTACTGCTGGTTTGAAAGTATTGACCAAAAATATTTAAAAAATAATAATAAAATAACTAAAAAAAATTTAAAAAAAAATAGAAAAAAGCAGGGTATAAGCAATGTCCCATTCTGTTACTGCATTAGTTGGAGGCATCTGCTCCAATGTATATCTATGTATCAAATGTTCCAGGTGGCAAGAGGCAATTGTTTTCTTGAGATAGAAAATGGAGCTGATAAAAGTGCCACCTGCTGGATTTATGCCCTGAAAAAGTTTACAGGAGGATTGGGAGACGATGATGACACAGACAGGGAAGATGATGTTACATGGAGGAGGTATTTCTTAAAGGTATTCTGTTGTTTTTTTTTTTTTTAATTTATAGACTTTCAGGATGTGGGTTTAATTTTGGTTAATCTATCAGTGCATTAACCTGTCAATAAACCAATCAGTTAATCAGCTAGTCAATTAGGATTGTGTCATTTATGCATTTTTTCAAGTCTTTATTTCATGAACTTTATGAAATAAAGTAGCTTTCTTGAGTTTGGGGATTTAATTTTTGAAGCCCCTCAGTTGAATGTCAGCGTATTAATTCATAAATGAATGGTTAGATAAAATTTTCAAGCCCTTTACAACATGAAGATATTTTATATTCTGCTTATTGGACATCATATATACCGTCACTCTCCAGCCTGAGACCACAGCACTAGTGCAGGGATGTAGATGACCCTCCTCTCTTTGAATATGTATTTCTGATTATAGCATAGCAATCAACTGATCAATCAGTCAATGAATTACTGAGGTAATGTTTTGTTTTATAATTGATTGATTGATTGATAAGTTGAATAATTAAGAAACCTATTGGTTAGTAAAATAATTTAGATATCAATTGGTTAGTAAGAAAATGCTGAAGTTTTTGTATCAGTATATCTGCATATAGATATTTTGATCTTCAGCCTCTGTACATATATATGTGTTTGATCTTCTCTTGTTGATCTTCATCCTCTGTACATGTTTGTATGTATGTGTGTGTAGATCTCCAGTTGTTGATCTTCAGCCTTTGGAGGAAGCCAAATGGGTAGTTTGTACGAGAAAGGCCAATGGAGAGGCAGGTCACTTCAGTTGTAGAAAACTGGCTGGACATTACATGTTATGTGCAGGGTCAAAGAATGTCCACATGGTTTTCAGGACAAGAGGTAAGACTTTTTTCAGGGGAGATTTAGGAAAGGTCAAAATACCTACCAATGTAAATACATGCAACATATCCGTAAACAGTTGAGGAATTGTGGAATAATTTTGACATTTGTTATGGAACTTCACTGCAACTCACATACCTCATCAAACTATTTTACTAATTATAACCTCTTTATTTGATGAATTGCCACTTTATCTTTATATCCATTACTAAAGTGATAATTTATTGATATATTTGTAGATGATATTAATAAATACCAAGATGGCAGGTTTCTGGTGGCGAAGGAGGTGTCTCTGGCAGTCATGACGCTACTGGAAGAGATGACAGAGGAAGAAAAAATCAGGTATAAATTGGAAAATAGTGCTCTCAGTATGTGGAATTAGGTGTCAGAGAGTACCCCAAGTTTACTGGAAAATATCGTCAGAATGATGTCATCATGTCTATAGCATTTGTACTGAAAGTTAACTTACCAAAGTTTCCTGTAGAAGTCCTTTAGGACTGTATGGGACTCAAAAGGAATCTTATAGGACTATCAGATGTTCTACAGGACTCTTTGGGACTCGAGAGGAATTTTATAGGACTATCTGATGACATGTAGATGTCATATAGGACTCAAGAGGAATCTTATAGGACTCTCGGGTGTCCTATAGGATTTTACTCTAGGACATACCAGTATGCCCTATAGGATATTAGAGGGAAGTTCTGTAAGGGTTACTAGTTGATAGTAAACTGACATTTGGAATGCTTAAAATCTGTTCAGACTTGGCATTTTTCATGCTTCTGTTCTCATATTTCTCTCGGGCAGTTTATTATAATGCTGAACTAAACAGAGTTCATTCCCAGTGAGCTTAAGGTGGCGGGAACAGGGGTAGCAGTGTTGTTGTCTAGGTAGGGTTGAGGATGGAGTACTGTAATTGATTTCAACATGTTTACAGTGACCACCATGAAAAATAGAATGTTGGTTTGAGTGATGAATCTTTTTATGTACAGACACAGATGTGTCTGTACATATAGCCATCATCTGCGTCTGTCGTCGCCGTCGCCGTCGCCNACTGTATTATTTTACACATTTTTTTTACTCATCTTTCAAGGTGGTTTTAGTAATAAATAAATAATAAATAAATAAATTGGGGGGTGGGGGGGGGGGGGTAAACCTCTGACAGCGCAATTACGTGTTCAGACCAGTTAAACTGGTATAGAAAAGTGTATCGCTCAACGGGAAGGGACCATAGAGACTAAGACAACACGCATGCGTTTTTTGCTGAAAAGAAGTCCTTAAGTTGTAGTTCCTAAAATGAACTGATCTTTAAAGGTTATAATTAACGTATAATATCTACGTTTTGTTGCCATTACCGGAAAACATTCAGCCATTAAGTGCCATTAAATTGCTTGACAACTGGAATTTTTGCAACCGCTGCACGGGTAGACACATAACCTATAACGAATACATCCTAGTGTTAATTGTGTGTAAATTTGGTGACATTTGGGGGGTCCTTTCAAGTTAATGGACATTTCTTTACCTTGTTCATCTCTGTAAAAGTCAAAGAGAAATACAGTTAATACAAAACCATTCTGAAAGAGTGCAGTTACTAGTTAATCTTTTTCTGACATATCAGACATCGCAATATACCTAACAATGGGTTAGTACAAATCGCTTACTTGAAATATCAAAGTAATTAACAAAGCAAGGATGCATACTGTTATATCGCCGCATTTAACATCAGTATACTTTATGTTTTAAGCCGCTGTTACGTAATCTTTAATGCCGAGACATACGCGCTATACACTATAAACACAACAGAAACAACAAATACTGAGGGCAAAACACTTTATTCTGATTGTGAGGCAATAAAGTGCCACAACCATGATGCTAAAATAAAAAAAAAACTTTCTATCAGTTATCACCGTGAAGGGTCGTTCATGGTGTAAGCTTTCATGTTCTTGGCAAATAAATAAATTGACATAAAATAAATAAAAATTCTAACAAAAACATTTTGTATGCGTCCTGACCGCTACACCACTAAGTGGTCAGTGAGATATAATATATCGTCTGATGAAGGCCTACCTCAAGGTTGGCCGTGAGCCAACGATATGAAAACATTCAAGCTTGTTTTTTTAATATATTTTTTTATAATTATCGTATATGAACCAACCACCAAGCTAATAAACATTTTTTTTGCTAAAAAATGTTTTGAATTCCCAAATTTTAAATTGCACGATCACCTGTAAGTTATTGACTGAAATAAGATCCCGCATCGAGTAAAACTCAATTGTCAATGGAGTTTATGAGTCCCCCATTCACTGATCTAATTTTATTTGAAAACAAGACGTAGTATGTTGTAAATGATTATGACTATTCAATCATTTCGATTAATCTTATGTAGAACTATAATTTCCTGTTTTTTTTTTTTTTTTTTTTGGGGGGGGGGAACAATGCGTGGTTCCTTTCTGCAAAATGTGGATAATTTTTGTAAGTGCTTGTCATAAAATAATATATCTTCTTCGTTTTGGTGGCACTAAAAGTTTTTATCATCCCACATTATGAACAGAGAATGACTGTTATGCATCTCGTGCATTCCGACCTGTCTTTACTGACATTTGATAAAATCATTTGACATCTGAAAATATTGCTGCACACAATTATTTCTGTACGTCCCTGAAGGGTGTATACACTGTACAATCAGAAAGTTAAATACATTGAGTGATGTGGGGTATCAGGTACGTATTACATGGTAAGAGATTGGCACGATGAATACGGAAAGTGGCAGCTATAGACTGAAGAAGGAAGGACAGAAAAGGACATTTGTCACCAAAAGCGACAGAGAGAAATACAGACAGTAGAAACGTCAGCTAGCACAATGGATATATTGTGGTCTCCATCTGAGATGCTTATAACCAGAGGGCACCAGGCGGCCCAGTCAAAAACATATTGTGTTACAATGCAACTACAATGAATGTTGGTCTTACTGACTCACCAACGGCAAAAATAGGGACCTGTTTAAACAGGTTGATTGCCTGTTTTCAGTGAAGAATTTACGATATAATGGTGCATCAGTCCAAGTGCAATAAAGATTATCTGATATTCATATGAAACGGTACTGTACATGTACTTCACTTTCTATCACCCTAGGTATACAGTGCGTGTCCGTTCGCATGCTGTTTGGTAGTTTTTATTCTTATTTAAACAGACAGAAATACGCTGGGCTGGTTCGAACCACATTTTGTATTGGCCTTATATGAAGCTGACCTTATATTAAGATCCCGCAAACAGTTGCAAATCCAGACTTTTGTTCAAGAGAGGGGGGCACGATGATGAAAACATTTCATTAGTAGACTAATCCGAATTCACTATAATAAGGGAGGCGCTTGGGTGGGCACATTTTTTCCTTATCTAGAATAAGTCCAAATCCACAATATATCGACGTGCTTACCGGTAGCTCTTTCGAAGTGTAAAGTTCTTGAAACAACATAAAATACACATAACACATTTAAGGTGAATGTGTGTTATGTCCATGTGTATTTGATCCAATCAATTCCCTCCAAAGCTTACTTCGAAATACACCCAATAGGCTGTTGCAAGCCAGCATAAGATTTGTACACTTACTACCGCTGAAACGAGGCATTTAACAAGAAAACAGAATTGGTTTCGAAAATGAGAATGAAAGAGTAAGTACGCTATGCTGGTTAGGCGAGATAAACACATCACATGCACTTTCTTGTCCAAACCAACTATCATACTATATATATATATATATATATGTGCCGCCGGAATGTCCCCTTACCAAATGGCCGTATGGTTTCCCAACCCTGCCCCATATGGTCGAACAATAGAGGCCGTATGATAATTACAGGGTAGGGGAATCCCCAAGCAATCCTTATCGGACACCCAAATTAGTCGGTTCAACGAACACGGTCTGCCCCTTCTTAATTGCCTACAGGTAACTTAAGGTTTCTATTATAGCTGATGCAAAGAGATTGCTATCGACATGAGCAAACAATACCGGGTTATGTATCAACTGCAACAGAAGACTCGAGTAAAGGCAAGTCGAATATTAGAAAAAAACTCTGAAGAACAAATCAGGCTTAGTTTTAAAACACGTATAACAATTTTATCTGATGATAATAAGTCACGATCAACAAAATCGTAGTTAAAATGGAAAATTTTAAATAGCTTATACATCAAATAAATATCAATGTCTCATTACCTTTATTACATGTGTTGCTAGTTTAGTAGCCTGATGCACGGCCTTCTCTCTCAATTACCGCTGGAATCACCTTCTTTAGGTGATAAATATATTTATTACACTTTTCTGCGTTAATATTTTCCCATGCCTCTCTCATGCCGTCAACAAGTTGTTCTCTCGTGGTAGGCTTAACACGCGTACGCAGGTGATGTTTGATTTCAGCCCACACGTTTTCAATAAGGTTAAGGTCGGGGCTTTCTGGAGGGGTGCGAAACCAATTAATACCATGTTGCTCAATAAATGCAGCAGCAAGTCGGCTGGTATGTTTGCTGTCGTTGTCCTGCTGAAACCTGTGGCCGGCTGGGAACATATTACGTATCGCTGGGATCATATTTATGTGTCCGTATAGAGAGCGTTTTTATATGGCATGGAAGAAATATATATCAAATTTCTGTAACACTTTACGTGATAATTATATTCAAAACATTATTTTCTTTGTTTTTTTAAAAATTCATTCATGTATATTTGGGGTACCAGTACGATTGAATATCGTTCAACGTGATTGATTAAACACGAAACAATTTCTGTAAATGGTAGTATGAAACGCAGCACATGGAAATACAGCATATGAAAATACAGGCAAACCTAAATGCAAAATACAAGTGCATTTATTCTTTTGCTTGAAACGCCGGTATTATACAGTAACACAGACAGATAAAAAAGAAACCATTATCGCTACTTCCGGTGTTATCGCGTTAGAAATCAATACGTTGGTAATAGTAATGAAAAATTTTGCAGAGTGAGACATAATCAATTGTCATATTAACAATTGCACCAGCTGTTAACATATGTACGTAAACTATATTTTTCATCCAGAATTTTCTCTTATCTCGGGTAGTAAGGGCTGTTTGGACCAACTATGTTTTTTGGTAAGATGTTTTCTCATGGTACAGATTTATAACTAGATTTGTAACGTTTGGCATCACAAATCCAAGGTTCAATTTGTATCGAAATTGAAGGAATGATAACCGAAAAAATGAAATTAATCTGCATGTTAGCTTCGCTAAGACGATGATATTTCTGGTGTTAAAAAAGAAAGATCCAAATGAAGCTTTCGTTTCAAATAAAAAAAATAAGGGGAAAAAACCCCGAAAGGTTTGTTGAAGCAACCATAATCCAAAATTGCATGAAAAAAAAATCGAATATATACACTCATCATCTTGTTTTAAGGTATCATTTTGAGCTTTATGCTTGGGGTGTCAGCTGGTCAAACCGTACAGACAGCAAGATTGGTTGCTCATGAACATCTACAAATGCCAGAGAACCGTTCACTTTTCGGCGTCAAAAGGTCGAACTCTGCCGTGGAATGCGCGTTAAGAATAAGAAGGTTGGGTGGGTACGCCGCCCAATATTGTAAGAGTGGGCAAATTTGTTCCATATACGGAACGAGTAACATTTACGAAGTCATGACGGATGTAGTGGCGGATGCAGGCTGCAAGTTTCTTGTCATTCAAGACGCTCTAACAAGTATGCACTTTAGAAACAATATTTGTGTGACAAAATAGAAAATATCATGATATCCTCCTCTTGTTTTCTTGCGTTTCGCAAAGAATACAGAAGTTCACTTTTCGTCGGTCTTTTAGTGCGCTACGGGATCACATTGTATTTGACTTTAAAATGAATTTCATACCTCAAAATAATGGTTTAATATGTCAATTATGAAAATTGTTGTGAATCGTTTAAAACGCACTTAAAAGTAGCAAGCAAAGTATAGTGACCGATTAAAGAAAACGCACAAAGTTAAACACAAAGCTACTCTTTTCTATGAAACGGGTCCAAAAGGTATGTGTCTAATGGTGTGAAAGGCAAACCTACCAACTCAATTTCAATTGAAAATTGAATCCTACCGTGATTACTTTCAGAAAAAAACACGATCTTCCGTTGGCCATCTCCGCAGTCCACCGAGAGATACGTGAAATTGATAGCAACCACACCTGAGATGACTGCCATTACAGCCTGTCTGTGGGCCAAGACAACCTTTGCTGAATCGAACCTTATACATCTCCTGTCTTACGCCGTGAGTGACAACACCAATGCTTTCCTCACTGGGTTCGATGGGAATGGAAACATCTTTTTCTATATATCTAGTCAGCGAATCACAACATCAATTCCGAGTTCTGAAATTAATGATGGAGCCTGGCACCATTGGTGTTTCGCTTGGAATAATGGCGTTGGAGCGTGGACAGTATTCAGAGATGGCATGTCAGCAGCGGGGGGCACTGGTTTCCAGACGTCTAGGAGCATTCCACCAAGTAAGAAATTACCAATTATTTCTCACAAAGTCAATATCAATCTTGACAACTAGCAGAAGGATACTTCTTTCATTAGAGTTTCGGAGGTGACGTTGGTAGATTTGACACTATTATGAATTAGTAGTGCATTTGATGAAAATTTGGATCGTTTCCAAATTTGTTGTGACATACATTGTGCACAAGCACCATTTTGAATTATAAGCTTTATACACGAATAAGTAAAGAAATATTAATTTTATTTTAAGATGGAGTATGGATTGTTGGGCAAGATCAAGACAGTGTAGGCGGCGGATTTGATGTTAATCAAGCATATGTTGGTGACGTTACAAGCGTCAATAGGGAGGTTTAGCAAACGACGAACAACGAAGACGAAGTACGAAAACTAGGTTCGTACGTCATTAGTCGTAGCGGCCGAACAACGAATACGAAAACAATAGAGGTCGCTTGTGTGACAAGATGGCTTCCATTATTGATTTGGTGTTACAGGCGCTTCTTTTTGACGCTGATTGTGATGACATTTTACCGTTTTTATGTGAAGAATCTAAATCAACGTATACGACATATACTAGACACACTTATGCCAAAGAAAGTGAGTAACAATATGCATTAAA